TGGCGCGCAGAGGGGCGGCAGAGCGGTCTCGCGGGCCGGGGGCCACACGGGGGCGCCTGCGGCCGCTCGTGCGGGGCGGGCGTCCAGGTCCGCCGGCGGAGCTGCACCCGGCGGGCTGATGATGTTCTCCGACACTGCCTGGGGGAGGAGACCCAGGCCCAGCAGTGCTTCCTGGTCGCGTGTCCAGGTAAGAGGGAGGTTCGGGTACCCCCCTCCTTTTAGCTTAACTTGCCTGGATGCTCACCCGTGTTCTGGCTTTGCCCGCAGCCTTGCAGCGTCCTCTGCAGCTCCCGATGCCCGTGTCTTGGAAGGAGCTACGTCTGCAGGGGCCCTTCCCCCAGCGCCTAATTTTTGTTTCTCTGACCTGAACAGTTGATGGCCAGTGGCGCGAATGGGCAACGTGGTCCAACTGCACCGAGGACTGCCGCGGGGTGGTGGTGCGGCACCGGGAATGCCTGCCATCCCAGAACGGGGGCCGCCATTGCACCGAAGGGCCAGACGGTTCCGCCGGCTCGATCGAGATCCGTAAGCCAGTCTGGGAGGGGGGCAAGAGGACCATCTTGCCAGCCCCCGCTGAGCAAGCGACTGGAGGCGGGCCAGGATAATTACGACGGTTTTTCCTCTCTGCTGGCCCTGCAGAATGCCGGGCACGTCTCCCCTCTGCGGCTGGGCTCTGCCTGGTCAAGGATCGGCCAGCAAGGAGAAAGCTAACCAGGCACCCGCCTTTCTGCTTCTTCCCCTCTCCTCAACCTGCAGAGCTGTGTCAGCGTGAAGACTGCCTCAACGCCTCCACTTGCCCTGGCGAGCTGGTGAGCCAGAAGTGCGCCCCGTGCCCCACCTCCTGCACGGAGCTCTCCAGCCGCACAAGATGCAGGAAGGACAGGCCCTGCCGGCCAGGTAGGGGGTCGCGTGACCTCTGGGGGTCCGTGTTAGCCTGGGCAGCAGCCCGCTGTCTGCCCGACTCATGAACCAGGAGAGAAGTAGCCCAGAGAATCAGCCGAGGCCTGGTAGAGCTTCTGCCCATCTGTCCTCTACAGGCTGCTGGTGCCCAGAAGGACTGGTCTTGAACAGCGAGCAGCAATGCGTGCGTCCACGGGAGTGCCCGTGCCAGGTGGGGGGCATCCGCTATTGGCCCGGCCAGCTGGTGAAAGTCAACTGCCGGATCTGCGCTTGCCAGGAAGGGCAGATGAAGCGCTGCCGGCAAAACCCAGAGTGCACAGGTCAGCCCTGCGCCAGGCTCCCGCCCTCCTCTGGCCTTCCCAGAGGAGAAACGGGCATCCCGGCCCTCCTCCTGGGGTTGTTCTCCCCATGCCCGGCTGGAGGCCGCTGCATCATTCTGCCTCTTCCCCCGGTCTCCAGTGAACTGTGGCTGGTCGGCCTGGTCGCCGTGGGGTGAGTGCCTGGGTCCTTGCGGGGTACAGAGCATCCAGTGGTCCTTTCGTAGCCCCAACAACCCCACCAAGCACGGGAACGGACGGCAGTGCCGAGGCATTTACCGCAAGGCCCGGAGGTGAGTCCCCCCGTGCCCCGCAGGGAACAGCAGGCCGGCCCCAACGTGCAAAGGAGCAACTGGGCCGTTGTTTCCTGCAGAGCCAAGCTGTGGGGCCATGGAGGGAGGCCCCCCGCTGCCCCTCAGGGCCGTGTCCCGTTTTGCACGCCCCGGCTGGCCCCGTGTGAGCTCCTGTGTCCTTCCCTGTCCTTTGCAGATGCCAGACGGAGCCGTGTGAAGAGTGCGAGCACCACGGCCGGACTCACGCCATTGGGGACCGCTGGCGTTCGGGCCAGTGCCAAGTCTGCCAGTGCTTGCCCAATCTAACTGTGCAATGCTCCCAGTACTGCCCCTACAGCACGGTGGGCTGCCCCGAGGTGAGCTTGGACCACTCCTGCCTCTCGGACCTCTGGGGTGCCCGACTTCCCTGCTGACCCTCCTCCTTCCTTCTGGCAGGGCCGGGTGCTGGTGAAGGGCCGGCCGGACGCCTGCTGCTACTGCAAGGAGGCTGGTGAGTCCCAACGGGGTGGGGCGGGATGGGGTGGCCCATGTTCAGTATCCCTCCCACCATCGTGAGCCCCTTTCCTCCTCATTTAGGCATAGATAGATGCCCTAATTTTGCATGGTCAATGGGTCTGAAAACATTGAGTCAACTGCTTGGGAAGTTTAAAAAAAAAAACACAAGAATTCTTTGTCCTCTGCATATGATCAGAGGTCCTTAAGTGCGAGGGGAAAATCCCAATTTTTGTTCCTTGGTAAACCTCTGACTTTTGTCATTTGAGGAGCCCTTGTTCAAAAGTTATCTGTAAGAGCAGTCAGAAACGTGATCATTTGGGAGCCGGTCTGCAGGCAGAAGGCGAACACACGAAGGGCTGGACTACAACTCTCCCTGCCATTAAAGGCTGTGCTGGCTCGCCGGGGGGGAAGGGCGCTCTCTTCCAAACCATCGGGAGGCCAGAAGATCGGAGAAGGCCCTTGTCCACCTCGGGAGTGTCTGCAGGGGCGGGGGGTCAAAAATGTCAAGATGGCAGCCACGAGTTGAAGCAAGTGGGGGCTTCAGCTGTGCAGGCGACTCTTTTTGGGTGCAGCTTAACTTTTTTACACCCCTCCCAACAAGCGCCCTGATCTGCTTTACCTGCAAATAAGATCTGTTTGACTCCCTGGTCTACTAGTAGCTGTGTTCGCGCAACATCCAAAGCTCCGTCCGTGTTAACGTGGGTCCAGAGCTTTTTGTGACTTTGTGAATTCTGAGTTGGTGCCGCCAGATCGCACTGCGAAGTTCCCAGCATCCACAGCTGCCTGCTGCCGTGTCTGTCCCTGTTTATTGGATTCACACAGTGACTTTCCATCCTGTTCGGCAGCGTCAGGGGCTGTGACGCGCACCCGCAGTTGGGCAAGAACCCAGCCCTGTCCGTAATCTGTCCCCCACCCCTGCCCCCCTTGGATGTCCTCCAGCCCTTTGCTCTGTTTCAGGGGAGAACCGGACTGCAGTGCCGAGCGCCCTGCCTCTGGGACCCCTGGGGACCACCCGAGTGGGCTCAGCTGCCTTCCCCACTGCCCCCCCGCTCAGCACCTTCCCCCTGCCCCCGCTTGGCGGTAAGTCTGTGCACTGCGGTTTTCCCCTCGTGGCAGCGCGGGCCATGCGCCACGCGAATCTTGTGAACGTAACGTGCCTCAGGCCCTCCTGACCCTATTCCTGCCCCCCCCCGCTCAGATCTCTGCTACGGCCCCCTGGGCATCGCCTCCTTGCCGGACGCCAGCTTCACTGCCTCCTCGCAGCAGCCGGAGAACCCGGCGCACGCCGCTCGGCTCAGCCGCCTCCTGCCCGGGGCCGACCTGCAGGGCTGGGCCCCCCGGCG